AAGCCTAGAACAGAGTGTCGTTTGCAATGGTAGCAATCACCCCAGCAAGGATCCTGGCTCTTGTTACTAGTTTACTGAGTAGTTTACCTGGAAGAGCATATTAGTCAGGTTAAGCGAGGCTCTATGGCAGTAATAAATACTCCCAAATCTCATGGCTTTAACCCAGTTGATGTTAATTTCTTGCTCACATAAGTTCCGTGGCTGGTCCGGGTGACTCCCCAGACAACCTTCCTCTATATGTTGTCCTGACGGATACAAGCTCTGTGGTCTTCAGTCTCCCCGTCAGCACGACCTTCCCAGGGAAAAGGGGTCCTGGAGAGTCACACTAGCTTTCACAGGGTTTCACATGGAAGGTCACATGACCCTGCTGCTCCCATTTCATTGGCCAAGGCAAATGACACATCCATGCCTGGTTCCAGAGGAGGGCAGGAAGGCGCAAGCATCCTCGGGGTCAGAAGGAGAGCAGAGGTGGAGGGTGGGGGGCAGTAGTAATGCCCCCCACAGCCAGCCCCTCGCAGTGCTCACCGTGATCCAGCTGCTGTGTGTGAACCCATTGAATCCTCACGGTGATCTACTCTCATCCCCCTTCTACAGATGAGAAAACTGAGGCTCAGGTGAATGAAGTGACTTGCCCAAGGCCTGCACAGCCATCCAGTGGGTGCCCCCTCCAGATGAATAGCACTGATAGGGACACAGAAAGCAGACCCCGAGCTTCTTGGATTCCCCCAGAGCTGGCTGGGGCTGGACTCCAGTCTCCTCGGAGGAGGAGGGGGCAGTGGTGGCAGCGGCCCAGCAGGGTATAAACTGAGATCAACACCAGATTCCCAGCTCTCCTGCGGGGAGCAGCTTCTCTGCAGAGACCTCAAAATCTTTGTCCCAGTCATGACGCGGTTCAGCCACTGAAAAAATGGAAATTTCTACCCCTAAAACTCTCTGGACACTCTGGTGGTGTTTTAAAGTCAGAATTCTTGGCTTTTGACAAATTGAAGTTCATTCTAATGCTGTTTTCCAGGGCCCAGCCCAATGCCCCCTTGATGAGCAGCCTCAAAAGTGTGCAACACCATGGGCTGTGGAGGCCAGGGGTCAATTATTTTTATTTGCTCATAAGAAGCTACAAATCCAGTAAATGGTAGATGAAATAAGTAAGAAATGTCTTTGCATCATGAAACAAGGAGCCTGGGGAGGGCTACCCATGGATGTCATCAGAAATCCAGATTATTTCTACACTCCTACTTTGCCATCCTTGGCATGGGGATTTGACCTCATGGTTACAAGATGGCTGCTACACCTCCAGGTATCATACCTGGACTCCAGACAGAATTAAAGGGCAAAATTTGAAAGGCTGAATTTGCTCCAAGAGCTTCTTCCTGGTTCTTTTCGCTTACACGTCGGTGGCCAAAACTGGTCACTTGGTCACTTCTAGCTGCAAGGAAGTCTGACGAGATGAGTGTTTTAGCTTTCCATTCTCTTTGGGAGAGAAAGAAAGCAGGTCGGGAATGGCTCTGGGCACCGGATGCTCTCTGGCTGCCAGAGACAGGCAGATCTGCCAACATCACTTACAATGACCTTGCACAAAGTATTCCTTTGAACTTCTATTTATTCACTTGGAAAATGAGGACAATTACAGCGCCTCCCTCCCAGAGTCGCGATGCCTGGAATACATCGAAATACATGGTAAATATTATTTTAATTATTACAATGGGAAAACAATATTTATGTAAAAGGCAGGCAGCAGACCCAGTTAATATATTTCTGGAAAATTACCCAGCTATCCCAAATCACACAGAAATGTATTCCAAAAGTCCCTGTAGAGGTAGCTTAGAGTTCTGCTTGAAGAGGCCTGAGGGTGAGGTGGAAACCCCTAACCTGCTTCCCTCCGCAACCTGTAGGGGAGCAGAGCAGGGAGGAAACAGAAGGAGAGTGTGACCGGGGCGGGGCGCTCCCAGGGCCATAGCTCTGAGCCTGCCTGGCCCGTGCAGGACTCATGACCGGATGAGACAGAAGAGTGACAGAGCCGCAGGAACCCAGCCGCCTGCCTGGCCCACCCTTCCCACCCCCCCACCCCCCGCAGAGCTGGTACCCTCCCCACCCCCGCTCACTATGATGCATTTTTTTCTTGGAACAAACAGATGAAAGATGAAAGCAAGCTGGGGGCGGCTGGTCGGGCCACTGGAAACATCTCCAAGCAGGAAGCAGCAGCTGAACTGACTGCCCTTTGGAGCCGCGGGCTGCAGCCCTGGTTGCCCTGGGGTTCCTGGGGTCGCGTGAGGATGAGAACCAGAGAATGAGAAGAGCAGGCAGGCTGAACTCCTGGGGAGGAAAGTTCCAGTCTTTGCTCCTCTGGCCCAGGGAGCCCCAAGGGGTCAAGAGTGGGAGAACGGATGGATCGACCATTGGGCACCCCCAAGACCATTCTGGTTGGGGTTTGTCTCCTAGGAACCCTGTCACCGCTGATCCTAAGGAAGGGACGTGAAAGTGTCCTGGGGTCGTGTAGAGGCAGCAGCCACGATCCGTGTGGGCCGAGTGGGTAGACGCAGTATCCAGGATGTTGTAGGTGCTCCAGAAATCGGGCTGGGGTGGCAGATGTCAGGTGCCGCTCCAGGAAATGCACACAGCCACTACTGAATTGGCTGGATGCCTGGCCTGACTCCCTCTGATGAGCGACCTCTGTCCTGCCACCTCCCCAGCTGGCCCGCCTCCTCCAGTGTGCCTATGCAGCAGGAAAGCCAAAGGGGAACTAGAAACAGAGCATCCTGACTGGTGAGGTCACGCACGCCTAGTGAGCATACATTGAGCACCATCTGTGTGCACGGCCCTGGGCCAGAAGGGGTCAGCGCCCAGCGTTGGAGGCTGCCAAAGGTCTGTATGCAGCTCGCGATTTTCATTTAAAATCTGCTGTTTTTCATCTCCGGCACGTTCTTCTTAGAGACGACTCATGGAGTTAGTCACTCAGAGAGACACAGAGGAGAAATTAAATTAGGAGTATTCCTGTCCTAATGGCAAATCCAAACAGACACCAAGCAGCTGGCTCTCTTGGGGAATCAGCCTCCCCACGTGAGGTTGGATTTGGGAAAGAAACCAGAGGCTGTTAACTGACACATAGGGCCTCCTTCTGGGGCCTGTGGGCTAAGCTGGGACAGGGGGAATAGCGTCCATCCATCCATCCCTCCCCCTGCCAGCCCCCACCCATCCCCAGAGCCTGACCCATAAGCAGGTTTGACTCATTTATTTGAGCTTCTCATTAACCTCCAAGGTCATTCATGCCTCAGGCCCTTTGCACTTGCTCGGCCCTCAGCCAGGGAATGGGTTCTCCCCCAGATCTTCACAAGGCCCTTTCTCAGGCTTTAGCTGTCAGCACAAATGTCATGACGTCCTAACTAAGAGTGGTCACTCAACCCCTATGCCCTTTCTCCTGTTTTATTCTTTACTAACACTTACCTTGAGACGTCTCCTTCTCCGCTGCTGATTTGTTCACTATCCTCCTCCCTTCACCCGGGAGCGGGTGTCGTGACCCCAGTACCCAGAAGGAACGTGCACGTGGTAGTGCTCAGTAAACATTATCGAGCAAATGAAAGAACCCTATTTGGCAGATCATATAACGGAGGCCCAGAGGCTAACAGAGTTGTCAAAGTCCACAAAATGAGTCAGTGCCAGGATTCAAATCCAGGTCTTGGGTCTCCACATCTTGTGTTCCTTCCATCTAGCCCCACTCTCTTGAAGTTTCCAGGCTTCTTCTTGCTTCTGTCACACCTTACCCCTCCTGGGTCCTGCTCCCTTGAGAAGGGCAGTGACCTTTGAAGCCAAGCATCCCACCTCCCTGGGAGGCGTCTGGTGCATCGACTGGGCCCAGAGGTTGGGAGGCGTGGCCTCTGAGCTCAGTTCTATCACTCACAGCCGCTTGACCTTGTTAAGTCACTTACCATCTTGTGCCTCTGTTTCCCCTTCTGTAAACTGGGGGTGATAGTAATATTGCCCCTCTTAAAGAACGTGTAACAGTTAAATGAAGTCATACACATAGAGCCTCAGAACTGAGCCCTACACAGAGGAGCAACAAAGGAACGTCGCTGTCATTGTAGGGATGGCCTGTCCTCCTAGCCGTCTTGCCCTGAAGGCCACACGGCATCTCCCGCCAACCCTCCACCCTCCCCACATGCCACTGCTCCCCTCAGCTGCAGCACCTGCCACGATCCCTGAAGCCAACGAACTAACGAACCACATCCTCCTGGTGGGAATGCTTTCTTTCCTCGGAAAATCCCTCTCCACAGCCGCCTCCTCTGAGAAGCCTTCCTGGATTCCAAGCTAACCCTGGAGCGATACCACAGGGAGGTCAGGTGGCAGGGAGCCAACTCACAAGCCACGTGGAGCCATTTTAGAAGCAAATCCTCCAGCCCCGGGTGAGACTTGCCACTGATGTCTCAACTGCAACCACCTGGACCCTAAGCTGGACCCACCCAGCTGCATCACTCCCAAGTTCCCAAGCCACAGAGAGCAAGATCGTAAGTACTCTTGTGGGTTTTTTAATGTTTGTTTGTTGGTTGGTTTATATATTTTATCTATCTATCATCTATCTATCTATCTATCTATCTATCTATCTATCTATCTATCTATCTATCTAGATTTGTTTATTTATTTAATTTTTGTTCAAAGCTTTTATTCCCATGCTTGGAACAGTATCCATACAAGCAGCTGGCCCTAAACGGTAGTTGTTCTCAAATAGGTCACTGCCACACCTCGGCCAGGTGAGTTAAATTCATGCAGCCTCAGGACCGAGACCAGCTCCTGTCAAGTAGACCGCGGTCCTCAAACTGCTCCAGGCCCCTCACTGCCCTCCCTTCAGGGCCCCCCACGACGCGGTTAACCCGCAGGTCCCGATGATCACGGAGAGGACAGCACTTCCACAAAAGGAACAGGAACGTGCGGACACGGAGTAGCAGGGCCTATAGGACGTCTCCCCGGGGCCCTTTCCACAAGGACCCCCACCCGCTCGCAGCCGGGTGTCCCAGTGTCGCTCACGGTTACAAGGGCCGCCGGGGGGTTGGACCTGGCGGGCCCAGTTATGCGCAAGCGCATGCGTGCAGCCTGAACCTGGCGCCACGCGCAGGCGCGGCAGGGGCTCAAAGGCAGTGCGTAATGTTTATTTATTTTTGAGAGAGAGA